ACGGGTCCAGCATTAATTAATCTGCCTTAGGAGACTATATTCTTAAATCAGACACCGGTTTAGCTAGGCAGAGCCTCCCAGCTGCAGAAGCCACTTCCATTGCTGTGGCTGCAGGGTTTTCATTGTTCAGGGTTTCAGCACTGCAGTTTCCAGGATGAATGGCTTAGTGCTTCAGGGGTGTGCGGGACCTGTATGTGGCCCCACAGGCAGAAGGGTTACGTATAGCTTCAGGTTGTATATTTACGGACTTGGGTTTAGTTTTCGGCAGTCCGTCGGGTGCAACCCAGTACGTGTTCTATTCGTAGTTCGGTATAACGTATACGGTACTACTACTACAACGACAACTCCTGCTGCTGCTGCTGCTGCTGCTGCTACTTGCTTGCTACTATCTACGACGACGACTACTACTACTATCACTAATAATAATAATATACTACTAGTCCTCAGTACAGACGCTGCTACTTGTACCACTCCTCCTCCTGCTGCTGCTGCTATTAGTACCAGCCAACTACTACGTCGAAGTAACTGCTCGAAATGCAAAACCGGGATCACATATAAAGTCGCTATATAAATATATATATATATATATATATTTATTTATATGTCGACTTTATATGTGATCCCGGTTTTGCATTTCGATGAGCCCAGAACTGGACGGCGAGGAAGCGCCATTTTGCTTTAGGAGTTTAGGGGTTCCGGTGTTTAGGGGTTTAGGGGTTTAGGGGTTTCTGGTGCTTAGGGGATTTCAGGGTTTCGGGGTTTAGGGGTTTAGCTTTGGACGCATAATCTGTTCGTAGCTCTCTCACGTCCCACGCATCAGCCTCGGTACGGGTCTCAAAATTTAATTAAAGATATCATGTTTAGGATAAGAAGCCTCGGGGCTTTATAGTATATATATATATATATAGCTATATCGTCCTCCGATCCGAAGCCAACACTTGCAATACTTGTATAGGTGTGTTTGAACAGATTGGTATAGATATCTATGCCCACTAAACCCTTAGGGAAACCCTTCAAGCATATTTCAGTTTGCATCATTAATTCGAACAAGCCCATCTGCAGCTTGTCAGGGTGGATCTGTATATTCTAGTAACAGGCCATGGTATATTGCCCATCTATAGGCCCTCACAGGGGGTTGCTGGTGTAGATCCGGGATGGAGTGCGAGTTTTTGTCTGAGACTTTTTATCGACAAAGTCGTTGGGCTCCACACGGCCTATTGCTGCCTGCTACTACGACGACGACGACTACTACTACTACTACTATTACGACTACCGCTGCTATTGCTGCTGCTACTGCTACCGATAATTATCTGCTGCTGCTACTGCCAAGAAGTACGATTTCTTGCATCTTCCCGATGTGCAATTAATCCTACCTATGCTGTGCAAAGTCATTCCTAAGCTTTGTCACATTGCATGGTTCGGCAGATCTGCTCTTTGAAGGAACGACGAGGAAGGAAGCAGACGCTCGCATGGTGTGCTTGGAGCATGTCGCATGGCGCCTTTAAACAGCATGCTGCTGGCCTGGCTGGATGATAATGCACTAGGTCCATTCGCATACGTACATTGTATCGTACCGATCGAGCATGCCTGCAGGGTGGCCGCATGTGGCTGTTGTCGCACATGGTGCACGAGCTTGCATGATTCCACACGTTCACGGCCTTTTGTGATCCGGGTAAATGTGAAGCCCTTCCGTGTCCGGCTGTGTATTCGCTTCATTCAACAACCAGATGATCAGCTGGTGCTTCTTGTGAATAATGCGGGGCCGGACGAAAGCAAGCCTGGGCCTACAAAGGTTGCAGAGCAGGGTCACAACAAACCGAACCGAAAGGCAAACTGCAAGCTTAAGTATACCAAGCTCCAATTAAATCAAGCACCTGGTGCCCATACATCTCTAAACAAAATCGCCGAGGCACTCTTTGGCAACGATGCCCGCTGGCCTACTTGATTTGGAGCAGGGCACTTACCCTGTCCTCAAGCTGAAGGCGTGGAATGGACGATTGATGATTCTTTTTTTGGCCGTTGCCCTGAAGGGGCTCTCGGAACCTGGCGATGATCTGTTGCGAAAGGAACGCCGGGCGGCGCTGGCGGCTGCCGAGTGTGTTGCTTGCATTTTCGACAGATCCGAGCGGGCTGCTCGACTGCTCACGGAGCAGGAGGCCGAGTCGATCAGCGAGGCAATTTTGAAGTTCCTCATGATTTATAAACAACTGGTGAAAATTTCGGTGTCTCGGAATTGCCCACGATACAAGATTATCCCGAAAATGCATGCATTATTGCATGTTGGGGAGGATGTCCGGGACACCCGCTGCAATTTTAGACACTTTCATTGCTTCATGGACGAAGACTATATGGGGCAGATGAAGGAGTTGACAATCAAACTGCCAAAAGTAGGCGGCGGCCTCGAATATAGATTGCTCACTCGATGGCTGCTCCGTCTGGGTGCCTCGAGACCACTTCGTGCTGGCGCAAAGTGATTTCTGCCCACTGCTCTGGGCGGTCAATCAAGATGTTTTTGTGGGTGGTCTACATCTGGCTCAGCTACACTAGACTCTGGCGAGTCTAGTGTTGCTGGCCAGCTGTAGCTCTTCCACTGGGCGTGCACCGGCTCAGCCTTCACATCTTGATTCTTTGAAGCACTTGGGAAGTTTGGCCTTCGGGATGGTATCTGGCTCATCACGACTGGTGTTGGCGTTGGTCAGTTCGGAAGCCCTCGCGAGCTCAGCCCTGGCGAGCCTGAAAAAGCTTTTCCGAGGAGAACTCTTCAACGCACACAGTTGGCCCAAAGCCTTGTCTCAGCCTGTTTACCCGGCCTAAACCCTTAACCGACCTCAGAAACTTTCTCGAACCCTTAAGCTGTGGACCTGGGCCCAGGCCTTGTGTAGATGGCTATTCTCGCTCCTAGCGCTTATTATATATAACCTTAAGAAAACCCTGCCTCAAACCCGAACAGGAAACAAATTCAGCTTTTCAGGCTGGCCCTCGCTGTTGAGCTGCATCCTCGAAGTATATATATATATATATATCCGAATAGGGGAGTGCCCATGATCTTTTGAAGATTTCAAGGGTTCCCTTGATAAGTCCAGGGTCTTGTCTTTCAATTTCTTCGGGCTTCCTGCTGGTAGCTAGTACGTACATCACACCCCAACGAGAGCTCATAGTGCCCAAATGAACAGGAAATCCCATCGTCTAGCTTTAATTCTGTCATCCATCAGGCTTCCGGGTTCCCAAGGCTCTATACTCTCCCCATATATATATATATATATATATACCCATAATTCTATGGATCTATGGAATATGCTATGACCATGAAAATTGTGAGCGTTGGCCCATTATGGGGGTATGATCATAGTTATCGTGATCTTAACGCAAAAGCTGCACTATAAGCAAGCGTTGGATTCAGAGGGCAGCAAACCGCTCGAAAAGGACCAGAGAGTCGCAGAAAACGGTGAGAAACCGCTCCAAAGATACAAAAGAAGGGAACAAGCAGTAATCCGTTCGAACAAGACCCCAGACTTTGAGAACCAAAGCGAGCCACCCGAAAGCGACTGGGAAATTGAAAATAAGGAGCAAACCAAGCGAAAGCGACTTGAGGATTTGAGAAAAACGGAGCAGACCTCGAAACGGGACTGGGCAATCTCAAAAAGCAAAACACCGCCCGAAAGAGACTACAGAGTTTAAGAACAAGCAGCAAACCGCACCAAAAACACTAGAGAATTTGAGAACCCGGGAGCAAACCGCTCGAAGAGGACTAGAGACTTTGAGAACAAGGAGCAATCCTCTCGAAAGAGACAACGCTTCTTTGTGTTACAATCTCAAGTCATCTCAAGTCTCTTTCGAGCGGGCTGCTCCTTGTTTTCAGAGCAATGGTTTCCCTCGAAATCATCGAGTCTGTTCCAAGAGGTTTGCTCGTTGTTTTCCAACTCTGTAGTTCGCTTCGCAATTCTCAGTCTGTTTCGCGCGGTTTGATGGTTGGTGTCAAGATCTCTAGTCGTTTTGGAGCGGTTTTCTCCTTTTGCTCAAAGTCATCGGCAAAGCGGCTTGCTCCCTTTCTCAAATTTCCAGTCCCTTTCGCGTGGTTTGCTCATTGTTTTCAATTCTGCAACCTCGGCAAAGCGGCCTGCTCCCTTTTCTCAAGGTTTCCAGTCTCTTTCGCTTGGTTTGCTTCTTTTTTCAATTTGGTTTGCGAGCGCTTTGCTCCTTTTCCTCAAATCCCGTAGTCACTTTTGAGCGGTTTGCTGCTTGTGTTCTGACAGTTTCTAGTCCCCTTCGAGCGGCTTACTTCTTGTTCTCAAAGTCTCTCGTCTCTTTCGTTTTGCTCCTGGTTCTCAACTTGCCTGGTCCCATTCGAGCGGCTTGCTCCTTGTTCACAACCTCCTTGTCCGTTTCGAGCCGTTTGCTCCTTCTTGAAAAGTTGTTTAATTTCTTTCGAGTGGTTTTCTCCTTGTTCTCGAAGTCCCTAGTCCCTTTCGAGCGGTTTGCTCCTTCCCCTTGAATTCTCTAGTCTCTTTCGAGCGGCGTGCACCTTATTCTCAAGTGTTTTGTTCCTCCGGCTGTAGACCCCACCCTAAACCCTAAACCCTAAACCCTAAACCCTAAACCCCAAGCCCAAGGAGCGATACCAACCTTCTACGTCCGATAAAGTTGATTTTGGCTCCTTAAGGGTTCTTTTGTTCCTTCGGCCTCAAACCCCCAAAAACACCCGAGTGAAGAAAAAGACGAATGCCCGGTTCGATCGTTCTTTGCCTCTATTCAATACTTTTCTTCCTTCTGAGCTAGGCCCCAAACCCGGAGCATCTGAACCGGGCGCGAAAAAGACCCCAAGCGAGAAAGTGAGCATGAGGAGCTTTTTCGGGGTGTGACAAGAGCGCCGCCCCCCGAAAACCTTTCCCAAAGCATGGCATAAAGCAGGTTTACCTTGGATGTCAGGTTTGGGGTTCATGGTTCCGAAACGAATGAACAGCTCTCTGCCAAAAAAGGTTTTGGGGTTCTGGCCACTTGAGGTGTCCATGATGCCCTACGCAAGCATCCAGCAAGTCAGAGAAGCCATGGAGGCCAGAGGCTTGGATAGTGTTAGGGTTGTAGGGTTTAGGGTTCTGCTATGCTTTTCTAGAGTCTTATGGGTTCTTTCATTGGGTTGAGTTGAGAAGGTTGTGATGGGTTCAGTAGTTAGGTTTTAATTACACAGTCAGTACGAGTTCCAACTCGATTTTAAGAGTGCTTTTGGAGGATTTGAATTCTTCACTTACAGGGGTCCTTCGTATGATGCAACGTCTATTGCTAAACTAGTTCTTGAGGTACGTGTCTTGTCGTGTGGATTTTAAGGTTTGATGCCCCAAGTCCTTGAACTTTGATGAAACCATGACTATAGACCCTATAAGCCCAAATCCTAGCTCCCGCGCGCGGGATGCTGCATGTTGCAGAACTCCTGGCACGTCTATTCAACCCTTCTCGATCTTACGAAACCAGAGCTTCTTTTCTTTCTGGGTGGCGTGTCTGCAGGGCGCTTGAAATCCCAAGCCTCGAGACTGAATGTCCAACTTTAAGCCCATAAAGACCTCGTCTGGCCCTTAGAGCCTTCATCCCTTAAGCTTTTTTACATTGATTTCTTGTAGCTTAAGTGGTATCGTTCCTCAGAAGCTTCCTCTTGAGCGACATCGGGGTCGAGAGCATACGACCCGCCATCTGACCGGCATCTCCCCATCGACCTCCAGCATCGCATCCTTGCCCGGACCGGGTTGTGAAAGCCTGGATGTCCTCAGGGAAACTTGGCGCTGATTTCAGAGCCTGATTAGGACAACCCTGGTTTCTAATCCCAAACGTAAGCCATGCGAGAGGGCAAATCCCAAAAGTATGACATCCTCTTTGGTCAGCCCGAATACGAATCGGGGGTTTTCTTCAAAGGTAGTTTTGATGATTTTTTAGAGTCTGTACTGTCTCTTCCCGCTGCTTTTAAGCTCTCCCTGCTTCTGGGATGCCTACTCGTCACAGTTTTCCTGCTTTGCCTAGTTTGCAAGTTGCACGCTGTCATCCGTTTTGCTGAGGAAGAAACTGACCTCGATGAGCATACAGTCGTGCGTGGTGGTTACTTGCCTGACAAGCTGACGATCAGCGCTTCACGGGGGTTGCTCAGAGGACGTGAGCAAGCGATGCAACCCGGGTATGCTTATGCTACCATGATAAATGGCGGTCATGCACATCTGGCAGCGAAAATGGTGACACACAGCTGGCGGAACAAGTTCACCCACCTCATGGCCGCAATTCTTGCAGATGCTTTGGATGCGGAGAAGTACGACGAGATAGCACAGGGCCTGGTCGAGCGTGAGTTTGAACCGCTGACGAAGGCCTTGCGCCGCAAAGGGAGGCTCGATGTCCGCTACTGGGTCTGCGCCTTTTCTGTGAATCAGCACACCGGAATTTGTGCAAGCCCGCCACTCACGGACTCGACCGGCAATGCCATCATGCCCTGCACATGCAGGACCGCCAAGCACTTCAAAGGTGACCTCAGCGATGCCAAGCTCTACTTCGGAAGACTTTTCGGGTGTCGTCTAGTCAAGCCATCCTTGCTCAAACGTTTCAGTGTGCAAGCTCCGAAGGAAATGAACAAGTTTGACGACATGATGGCCTACATGAAGAAGTCCTTGCGCCGACAGGGAAAGGCGAGAGACTTACTTTCTCTTTGCCTAACATCAGGAGAGGATGCAAGGTTTCCTTGGGCTGTTCCTTATTGTCGTATATAGTAGGAACTAGGAACCCAGTGCGGCTCGCAAGCTTCTGCAGCGCTACTTCCTCCATTTTTTGGGGGCTTCTTGCTTACATTCTTGTAAAACCAGCAAGGAAAGTAGGTCTGTTGGTTCACTGAGAAACCTTATGTAGCCGAAGCCGTAAGGCGGTCAAGAACGGCGCCTCTGAAACTTGAAGCACCCCTAAAGCACAGTGTTATAAGAGCAAGTTGCGTTGGGCTCTTGTGGATTCTGGCGAAGAGAGCACGGAAAAACGATCTATGCCGCCTGAGACCAGGCGCGATTGGAGCAGGTGGTTGCGCTGGAGGTCGGTGTTTTGGTGTTTGTTACCGGGTTTTGGAGGTTTGCTGTGGCTTTAAAGACCCGTTATGGTGCTTCGAGAATTCGGTGGATTCCCCCTAGGCTACAGAGACAACCTCAATGAGATCGAAGCATGTTTTTCGATGGATGAGCATTGTTCGCAGAAGCTGTTTCCAGAAGCAGCTTTGATTGAGCCCATCCCTCGAAGTCTCCGACCAGGTGGACTTTTCTCTCCTAACGAGGCAGGTGGGAAGTCTGAATAGATCCTTCCTGCCGGGGGGGTTAGCAGGTATGCAACGGGCACGGGCTATACAGTCTGGTCGTAGCCGAAAGTGTGGTCAACAAGATCAGTAACCGCAGCACCAGCAACCGACACCAGCTCCTTTGTCGTCACTTCTGTGGCTGCAAGGGTGTGGTGTTTGGCGGAGCTTGTCGAAGCACACGAGCTCCACCTGCTGCAGGCGCATGGGAGTCCTGCCGTCAGAAGGATGTCCACAGTGATGGCGAAGAGATCTTCACAGTATTACAGTGCTCCCGGGCTTCGTCCCGAAACCCTAAATTGCTGCAGAGCCGCCAACAGTTTGGGGGGGCTCGGGGAGCCGGCAGGACAGCAGATTCGCCCTCGATCCTTTGAAGCTCGAAGTAGACGTCGGAAATCCTAAACCCCCAGAACCTGAACCCCAAACCAAAAGCAAAGCGTGCTGGTTAAAAGAAAGCGCCAGGCAATCAAGATCCATTCGGTAGCTGCCCGGGACCTCTGCTTGCACAGGCTACCGGGTTCGTGTCTAGGAGCATTTTCAGTTGCCATGTTGAGACACCACATTATCATTAGTGTTTAGGAATTAGGGTAGTAGTTGTGTATCCGATTGTGTTAGCTATGCTAAGCTCCGTGACAACCCAGGCTGGCTCAGCTGGATGTCCGGGATGCAGAAGCCTCTTTCCCCGCAGACAAGGACAAGCCCTTCTTGGTTCAGGTAGCTCTCGCCCCCTCCTCAGCCCTTGGGCGACACCAAACGATTTCCAGCGCGTCCGAACACTGCCGTGGCCCCACTGCAAAGTGAGACTCGGCGGGTGAGTGCTGCAAGGGTTCCATTCTGCTCTCGTAAGCTGTGCCACTTTGTCAAACCGCGTACTCCCAATGTGGTCTCCGTGCAGTTGAGCTAGTGTTGCACAACGGCCCCTGACGCCAAAGACGGTCAAGAGAGCTTGTGCTCTTCCGTGCTGGCCGTCATGGAAGCGAGAATAACTAAAAACCCCTAACATCTTCAAGCTTAAACCTACAAGCCTTAAATCGTAGAATTGTAGGTAAGCCCTAAACCCTAAACCACAGAAGCTTGAGGTCTCGGAGCGGGGACGCATATCATTCTCGGCCTGATGTCATGTGGGGGTTGATCACAATTATGGGGTTCTTTCGGTCCCCAAACTAAGGAATGCACTCTAATATAAACCCCAAAAGGGACCATGGTTTCGATCAACCAGTATGTGAGGTCATGAGGTGCACAACACCGGATTGATCCTAAGACCACCTTCCTTGACAATGTTTCGAGCTGCTCTCGACAAGTGTTGCTAAACTGGGACCACAGGACTTGGTCCTCAGCAAGATCGACGACAAGGACGCCTTCAACGTGGCCCTCCAGGACCGAGGGCTTTCGGGTTTTAGGGGACGAACGGTTTTCGACATGGCCTCCATGACCCCAAACCCTCATTGCCTCAACCATCTCAGACCACAGTTGTGAATTTTATCAACACCCCCCCCCCCCCCCCGAAACCCTACACCTACACATTGTCACTGAACCCCCTTGTTTTTCACAGGACCTTGTGCTGCACCGGCTGGACTCCTTCCTCCAAGCCAACAAGGCGAGCACCAGAGCTGCACTTCTTGATGCTGAGCTCTTTTTCAGGAACATCCCTTTCGGGATTGTGATTAGACTTGTATGATTTCATGTGGGTTTATTTGGTTTATACAGGTTGTTATAGAGTTTTTCTACACCGCATCCCGTCCTCTACGAACAAGAACCAAGGATGAAGTCCTCCTTGCGGGCATCAGCCTGGCCATGTGAGTCGAGTGGAACAAACCGCCGCTGCTGAATCAGTAAATGTGTTCTCAATCGTTCCCAGAGAGCCCAACACCCCTTAATTCAGGAATATGGCTTCAATTATATAGGGCTTCAACTATGATTTAAGCTCCATTCCTTAATTAAGGGGTGTTGGGCTCTCTGGGTTTCACCTGCAATCATCCCGTTGAGGCTGCCAGAGCCACTGCGCTTTCGCACCGGCTAGGTTAGGTGCTTCTGTTTTCTCCGCAGTGGTCACAACAGCACAGCTTTCAAGAGTCAAAAGCAGCGAGTCACTCTAGTATTTGACTCCGTCTTCTCCGTGGGCCAAGAAATCGGCCTGCGGACTCTTGCCGTTAACCCCTTGCTATTGCCTGGAGAAACTTTTGAATGGCCTTCGTTCGCAGACAGTTTAGCTCAGTTGCTTGTTCATCCTTACCGCCGATCCAGTTGGCGTCCTGGACGCAAGGAGAAGCTTGCAAACACTATCTTCCAGTAGAGGGGCTAATTGCCCCGGTCCTCCCCCACCTCGTTCTTACTGTAGAAGCCGTATACTGGCGATAAAATCATAAAGAACTTTATACCCGTGGGAAGGTGAAGGCTTAGTTATGTAAACTGAACTTCAACTTTTGGCATTCAGGGCTGAACAATCGAAGAATTAGATGTATTTGCAACTACCCCGATCTGTATATTCATATACGATGCTTCTTTTGATTTTTATTCAATGAGTTGGTTCTTTTCTCCTCAAGTGAGCCTGCGGAGGGATATTGACGACCTTGGAATGTCACGAAAGCTAGTGTAGCTAGTCTTGTGTTTCTACTACGATAGTTGCTGATGCCTGAAGCCCTCCCTTGTGTAAAGAATGGCGAGTGGAGCTCGCTATGTGACTCAGGAACCTGTCGTGTGAGGACAGTGTTGCCATGATCGGCAGAAGCCAACACCATGCGCACTGTCATACAGACCGCAGCCTAAGGTGTGCACAGAAGCCCTTAGGACAACGTGTGCCGTGTGTGTGTGAAAAGGTTTGAGGTTTTGCCCGCGCTTGATGGATCTGGGATTCCTTCGGGGATCATCCGATAAGTATTCGGAACGATACTGAGGCGTCGTCGCATGGTTTTGGCACCTTCAGCTGAAGAGCCGAGTGATCCAGCTCTTCAGGTGATGAGCCCAAGCGCTACTGCTGGGCGGGACACGGCTCCGCAGCAAGCTGAGGTGATGGAAGGCTCTCTTGGAGCACTGCCGAACGGTGTAACTCCAAGGGAGCTTCAGCCAGCGATGAGTGAATCCAGACCTGGAGCGGGTGAAGTAATCCCTTCAACTGTAGACGATTTCCTTTCCAGTGGAAGGACTGGGAGGAGACAGGACGCAAGTGATCTGACTGAGGCCCCGGCCGCTGGAAGTGCTCAGGTCGCAGTGCCTAGCAGTCAGGCAACAGGTGGCCAGGCTTCAGTTGCTGCAGCTATGGCGCTGGAAGATGGGAGTGTGCATGCAGTGAGAGCAAATGTGGAGGTTCAGCAGGGATCTTCGTCGTTGACGGTTGTGCGCTGGATTTCGCGTTTGAACGAACTCTTGACCAACCAAGGACAGTCTGTGTTGGGTTCGGTTGGGTTAAATACGACGCCTACTCAAGGGCCCTGACATTCAAGAACCACACAGCAAGCAATCACACAAGCAGCGACACCCACCAGAAGCCAAAAGCAGCAAGCAGCCGCAGCAGCCAGATCAGCTCAGGGTTCTCCACTGGGGTTTTCTCCGCCTGAAGAGTTTCCTCAAGGAAGTGGATGGATGTAGCCGCCGGAGTTCCAGCAGCATTACGATGCCCCGTTGTTTTCACGTGAAGCTTGGGAACAGATGATGAGGTTCTCGCAGAGGGCTCCGTGGCTATGGCGTAGCGGCTACTCTCAGGGAGACTCAACGGGCTCGTCTGAGATTCAGGCTGAAGTACAACGACAGATGGAGATCATGATGAGAAGCCAGTCCCGGCAGATGGAAGAGATGCGGGACGAGCTCCAGTACCTTCGTGCGGAAAGGGCGAGACTGAGCGAAAGAATGGCATGGAATCAGGACGGGTTTCGAGGAGAGCATGGTGATCGGGGACATGGTGATCCTCGCGCTTCGGAGGCCCAGCAAAAGGAAACGATGGTGGACGGCATCAAGGTGATCCTCGTGGGGGGCTAAGAGCACCAGCAGGGGGAAACGATGGTCCTCGGCATCAAGGTGATCCTCGTGGAAGCTTCGGAGTGCGAGCAGAAGGAAACGGTGGTCCTCGGCATCAAGGTGATCCTCGTGGGAACTTGAGAGCGCCAGCAGAAGGAAACGATGGTCGTCGGCATCAAGGTGATCCTCGTGGGATTCGGGCTCCAGCAGAGGGAGACGATGGTCGGGGACATCAAGGTGATCCACGTGGTGTGCGAGCAGAAGGAAACGATGGTCGTCGACATCAAGGTGATCCTCGTGGTTTTAGCATACCAGCAGAAGGAGACGATGGTCGTCGGCATCAAGGCGATCCTCGTGGGGGTATAAGTAATGTGCCTGGCCAGTCAGTCGGTGGGTTTCAAGTGCCTAGCCAGTCAGTCGGAGCTCCCTTTTTCCGTGAAGGGCATGCGCAAGTCGGGTCTACAGATGGCTTTCAGAACGTGCCGCCAGGACTCACTCGCGAACCTCTAGAACATGAGCTTCAGGATGTTAGAAATGTCAGACCTCGTGTTGATGAGTTTCAGGGTCCAGCGGGACATACCGTTTATGGGCCCAGCATCAGTGCAACAAGATGTGCAACGCTTGGAAGCGGGCAACAGCTCCACCATGTTGGCCTGGGCGATGATGATGTTGATGCAGTTCCTGATGGAGGAGCAGATCAAAAGACCACACGGACTACAAGCGAGCGTCTCCTCAAGACCTTGGCGGAAGGGATGCAGCAGCTCCACAGGGCACAACTGAACCATCTGGAGAAGGCCGACAAAACAGACCTGTGCTAAGTCCGGTTTTCCAGCAAGTCGTAGAAACTATCCATACAGTTGATAGATAGAAATTTTTCAGTCTAAACTTAGGGTTGATTCGGAGTTGGTGATCGTGATACAAATTAAAGTAATAGGTCAGGGGTTGATGTGTCGCTCGGCCCGTAGCTCACTCCGGCCCGAAATGAACCGAAGCCCCAGCCCCCACCTTTAAACCCATAAATCCCGATTCCACGTGAAACACCCAAACCATCCCAAACCTCAGGGTGAAATCTCTTATCATCATCATCCAGATCCCCTTAAGCCTTAAACTTCCATTCAAAGAGGGTGATATAGCCGGCAGTGCGCAGCAGCCTTCAAGATCGACGAGGCCGGGGCGGGACCGGGACTTTAAGCCCTAAACCCTAAAACCCTAAGTGTAGTTTTTAAGTGTAGAAGTTTAAGTGTAGGTGTCGACGGCATGTGACATTCGCCGGTATCCAATCTAGTGTAGGGTGACTAGACTGTGGTTTTTAAGTGTAGAGCTTTACGTGTAGGCGTAGGGTGACTAGCCGGTAATCTTTAAGTATAGAGTTTTGAAGAGTAGCCGGATAGGATATGTGATAGGGTAGGGCGGCACGTGACATTCGCCGCTAACTGAACTTGAATAGTGTGACTAGGCTGTAGGTGTTAAGTGTAGCTTTTTTACGTGTAGGAGGATAGCGTGTGTAGGTTAGGGCGGCACGTGACATTCGCCGCTAACTAAGCTTGAATAGGGTGCCTAGACTGTAGGTGTTAGGTGTAGGTTTTTTACGTGTAGGAGGATAGCGTGTGTAGGTTAGGGCGGCACGTGACATTCGCCGCTAATTAGCTAAACTTAAATAGGGTGACCAGACTGTAGGTGTTAAGTGTAGGTTTTTTAAGTCTAGGAGGATAGCGTGTGTAGGGTAGGGCGGCACGTGACATTCGCCGCTAATTAGCTAAACTTAACTTTAAATAGGGTGACTAGACTGTAGGTTTTGAGTAGGTTTTAAGTGCAGGTTTTTTAAGTGTAGGAGGATAGGGTGTAAAGGGCACGATACATTCGCCGCTAACAAAACGTGTAGCTTTGAAGAGTAGGGTGTGCGGTAGGTAGTGCAGGGTGACATAGACTGTAGATTTGAGTGTGTAGGCTAAGGTTTAGGATAGGGCGGCACGTGATATTCGCGACAATTAACTCGTGCAGGGTTAAGCTAGGCTTAAAAAGCGCAGGTGTAATAGGGTAAGGGCCTGAACCTTTGAACCCTAAACCCTAAAACCGTTCCGAGTTGCGAGTGCGTAAAACCTTAAACCCCGAACCCTAAACTAAGTAAATAAAGTAGATTTGGAAGGAGGTGAAGGATTAGGGTGCCGGGGAGGGGGGGGTTGTTGTTGGGGCCTTCGGGGTTTCCGGGCTTGGCGGCTCTGGGATTTCATTGTGTCGTTGCGAGCTGATTTGCAGATGATAAGTTGTTAAGTGGTGAGATATGCTTCCCATATGCTGTTGCAGGCTCT